ATTTTTTTAGAATAACAGATTTTTATACATATATTTTTAGAAAAAACTTATATATTTATCTTAATTTAAACGAATTTTAATAACACAAGGGAAGGAGTTTGTTTCTGCTTCGGTGCACGTAGCTCGGGTCTCCACTGCAAGGAGAACTGAAAGCGTCGCCGGCAAAACAAAAAGAAAAAAAAAAAAAGAGGATTTCAATGAGAAACTCGTGCTCAAAGATGAGCCAATCGCTGCCAAGGCTTGGGAAACCTCTTCCAGTAAAAAGCTTTCTGGGGGAAGTCCCTTCTGTGACACTGACTTCTGCCTTCCCTGCTGACATCACCCCACTCTGTCAAGAAGTCCGGGAATCGTCAAATTGAATCATCAAATGGTTTGGGGTGGAGGGGACCTTAAAAATCATCCAGTCCCACCCCCTGCCCTGGGCAGGGACCCCTCCCACCAGCCCAGGTTGCTCAAAGCCTCGTCCAGCTTGGCCTTGGAGCCCTCCAGGGTTGGGGCATCCGCAGCTTCTCTGGGCCACTGCCTCACCACCATCATCATTGATTTCTTCTTGAAGTCTCGTCTAAATCTCCTCTTTTTCAGCTTAAAACCGTCCCCACCCTTCCCATCATCACTGACATCCCAGCGCTTGGTCCCCTCCGTCCTACTGGAGATGAGCCCAAGCCAACGCTTGACCCAAGAGTGGCTGATTGTTGAACCATCGCCTGGAAATTCCCATTTTCGTCCCCAAAAAAGGGCAGTTTTCGGTGCTCAGAGGTCACCCAGGGACCCAGGATGGATCCCATGGGATTTTGACGGATTGATGTTGGTACGAGGAAGAAAAACCAAACCCAATATTTCAAGGTCTCTGCCCTTCCCGGGCGCGGTTGCTCCTGTTGTGTTCCGCTAATCACAACGCTTCCTGAAAACGTGCCATAGACCGACGGCTAATCTCCAAAACCAGTAACACCAGTGTAACACCAGTGAGGAAAGAGGAAAGAAAGAAAACCCCACGGAGGAACTGCCGACACGCTCAACTGCTGGTTCCCCTTCTGATGACAAATCACGCTTTTGTCTCTTACAGGACTCTGCTGATTGATTGGCAGAATTTTTATTTTTTTTTCAACTCCCACATCTAGGTTGGGTTGGGTGGTGGTTTTTTTGTGGTTTTTTTTTTTTTTTGTTAAGCCAGGGTATAAAATGAAAGCACGCCACAGTAGAGGACTTGCCTTCCTCCTGGAACAATGACTCTGATCGGTGAGTGACTCTCCCCTGAGTCTTGAACTCTCATTTTCTTTTGTTTTCTGGGTGGGTTTTGGTTACTTTGGGTGTTTTTTCCCCGTCTGCTGGAACATCTGCCCCTTGTCTCACCTCCCACCAGTGTCACCACAAACCTCCTTTTCTTCAACCGACATCTTTCACCATCCCTTGGAGCTTGACTTTGCAGCACGACAGGTGGTGGGAGACCTTCCTGGAGATTTTGGGTGGTGGGATGTCCCTAGAGATGGAAATGTGAGCTCAGAATGATCCAGAGACCTTCCTGGAGGCCACCACCTCGACTCATGTTTGTGGTTTCTCCATAAGAACCATCGGAGGTTGGGGTGGAAGGAACCTTCCAGATCGTTGAGTTCCAACCATGGGCAGAGAGAACTTCCACTAAACCAGGCTGCTCCGAGAAGATGGAGCAAGAAGAAGACTCCGAGAAGGTCCGACGGAAGATGGAGATCCATCAGATGTTCCCAAGAGCTGCTCCCACGGTCTTTGCTCTCTCCCACTGATCTCCAACGTGGTCCACAGATCTTTGGGGTAGTCACGCTGGGTGAAATGACGGCAGTGAGACTGGCCAGTGGTTTTACACCACCATGATCCACCCCCCCACGCCAAAAAACTCAACTCCAGGCCTCATCCTGGGTCCTCCAGGAAGGTCGGGGTTTTATCTCCGCGATATCACTTTCCATCACGCTTTCAAGGTGGCAACCCTGCTGTAATTTCTAATTATTTTTTTTACTGTCAGCGTCTTCAAGAAGCTGGATCTAGAGGCTGGAGGAAGATCTGCTTCCGGGAACTGGACTTAGGTCCAGGTTTTCTGCAGATCTGGGGCTGTTCCAGCAAAAGCAGCGATTCCTTGGGGATTTTTCCAGGTGTAAGAATTATCCTGGGTGTCCTTAAAAATGTTTTTTTGTTTTTTTTTTTTTTTCTTTTCTTCCCTTTTTCCCCTGGAAGGAAACTAGACATCCTTGGGGATGGGGAAGGAAAAGAAAATTTCCAAAATATTGTGGAAAAATCCTGGCAAAAGCCCAGGATGATTTCTGTGCAAGCTTCATTTTCCCTGCGTATGGGAAATGGAAGTCATTACAAGATTTGCCTTAATGCTTTGCGTGTCAACGCCGTTAATTAGCGTTCTTCATTATGGAGTCTTTGGAGCTTATTCAAAGGGGACAAACTCGTTTTGGGACCTCGCCACAGCAGCAGCAGCAGCAGCAAAACATGGGTATGAAAAAATTAAAAATTATCTCTGGGCTTTGATTTCTCCTTAAAAAAAAAATAAAAAAATTACATTAACTGACACCACACGGCATCTGGCTGTGGTCACGGAGACCTGCTGATGCCACGGATTTCATAATCGTGACAGTTTGAAGAGAGATTTGATGGATGTTCCTCACTGGGGTTTGGTTGGTGTCACCTCCCTCCCGGTGTGCCAGGAAGGAACTTGTGTGGTGACTGTGCCTTCATTTCATTATTTTCTTCTCTTCTTCTTCTCTTCTCCTCCGCGTCTCCTCCTTCTTCTCTTCTCCTCCTCCTCTTCTCCTTCTTCTCTTCTCCTCCTCTCCTCCTTCTTCTCCTCCTCTTCTCCTTCTCTTCCTTCTTCTCCTTCTCCTCCTTCTTCTTCTTTTCTCCTTCTTCTTCTCTTCTCCTCCTGTTCTTCTCCTCTTCTTCTCGTCTCCTCTTCTTATTCTTCTCCTCTCCTCCTCTTCTTCTCCTCTCCCTAGTCATCTTCCAACTACTCCTGCTCGCAGCTCACCTAAGCGCCAAGACGTTTCCAGGTTTCCCTGAATATTGTCTTGAAGATAAAGACTATGAGGAGCTTCTGGAGATCATCAGAGACGGGCTGGAACCTGCAACTCACCCAGCAAATATCGTCATCGTCGGTGCAGGAATAAGCGGGCTGACGGCAGCAAAGCTGCTCCGAGATGCCGGCCACACGGTAAGGAGTTCGGTGAGAGCCGTTGGGACTCGGTTTCCTGCACGAAGGGTTTTCCGTCATGGAGAGGGAGAAGGGAAACTCAAGGGTGGGAGAAGGAAGGAAAAGTCATTGAGCTCCGGGAATTTCAGCGGATGATTTTCCAAACCGCAGGGATGGATGGGAGGGGAGAAGGGGGAGTTGTTGCAACACAAGTGGTTCAGATGTTCCCCAAATGAATGGCAAGACCAAAAATGAAAAGGCGCCGTCGTCCTTCTCCATCCTTATGGGTTTCTGAGATCAGCAGAGCCTGGGACAGCCTCGGAGGTGGCTCTGCTGGGAGCGGGAGGTTGGAGTAGACCCCTCCAGAGGCACCTCCAGCCTCAATGTCTACGATTCTCCAACTTGGTGCAACTCGCAGCCCAACGGTGACGTTCGTTGCTGTGGATCAACCAGCAAGAGACTCATGAGCCCCTTGAGTCCAGCCCTGGGAAGTGGCAGGTAGCCCAGGGGTCTCAAAACTGCGTTAACCGTCCCAAGGTGCTATAGGTGAAATTCAAACCCTTGAGTTTCAAAGAAGGTTTCAAAGGCCTGGGTTTTTTTAGGTTACCATTTTGGAAAGGAGCAATCAGGTCGGTGGGAGGATCAGGACGTACCGATGGGAGCGACAGGGCTGGTACGCGGAGTTGGGAGCCATGCGCCTGCCGAGCAAGCACAGGTAAGATGGCGACTTCTTCATGGCCATTGTCTGTTGTTCTGCATAAAAGGGACAAAAACCACAGAAATCTCCTGCATTTGAGTTGGAAGAATTAAAGAAGACCTTTGATATTTGTATCGTACCCGTAAATGGTCACATCTCTAGTTTGGGAGTCATAAGATCAGAAGACGGATGAATTTCCTTTGGGTCTGGTGGAGAGGGCATCCAACCGAGGCTCTCCAAGAGGATGGAGTCAACCAGGGCTCAAACCATGAACCCAAATGCTCTGGGAAGAGGCTGTGGGAGAGTAATCGCCACAATCTCCACTCATGAGCCAAAAGGACGGGTGGCTACACCATCGTCCACGGGAAAATGTTCTGTGATGCTTCTCGCGTTCTGGCAGCAGGGGTTGGAGGTTTGGTTGGTCACAAGCACTCGTCCCCACATCATGTCCTCTTCTCTAGGCTGGTCCGTGAATTCATTAAGCAGTTTAAACTGAAGCTAAACCCCTTCTTTGAGACGGACAACAACACCTGGTATTTTTTGAACGGCACTCGGATAAAAGCTGAGGAGGTGGAGAAAAACCCCAACATCCTCAACTACCCGGTGAAGGCATCAGAGAGAGGCAAGAGCGCGACCCAGCTTTACAGAGAAACTCTAAACAAGGTACGTGCCCGCAGGGGAGGGATGATGGTGCCTTCCGGGGATGTTGCTCATCCCAGAGACGCTGAAGCAATTTCCTCTGGGCTGCGGCGAAGCCTCTGGCAAACGATGGGTTGGGAAAGACTCAGTGATGGGTTGGGTTGAGCGAGCAGAGAGGCTCGTTCAGGAACGAGGGCAGCAGGTTGTAAAACTCTATACACAAGAGAAGGGAACAGATCCACCAAGACTTGGATGAGGTGGAAAATGCCGCATGAAGGCAGAATGTCCCAAAATTTGACGCCAAAGCAGCAGGATCCAGTAGCTCCAGGGGTTACCAAACCCCAGGACTGGATACCCTGAGATAAATCCTAATAGAATTTGGGAAATGCACTTTTTTTCTCATCAATATTTCCTCTCCAGGCTTTCAAGAAGTTCCAGACTACAGACTGCAAGGAATACCTCGCTCAACATGACTCCTTCTCCACCAAGGTAAAGGCCTTGAGACTAAATTTAATCCCTCCCCACCGATGATCGACCTTCATCCCTGCTTCCTCCATTGATGCTTTTTGTTGTGCAAAACCAGGGGAGACGTTGAGCTCCTGCAACAAGCTCCAAGAGCTGCATAAAAAAAAAAAAAAAAACAACAAAAAAACCAAACCAAAACAAAAAAAAACCCCAAACAAACCCCAAAAACCCAACGTTCTGGTCCAGGCATTAAAAAAAAAAAAATGAAAAAAACCCCCAAACTTCTAGGCCAGGCTTTGAGCAGATGAAGAGCAGGAAGAAGGCATCAGGGTGTGGTTGTTGGTTTTGGATACACAGGAGACACTTGCGCTGAGATATTAAACATCTTCCCGGCTTTTCTAGGAGTATTTGATCAAAGTCGGAAATTTAAGCCGAGGAGCAGTTGAGATGATCGGTGACTTGTTGAATGAGGACTCTGGGTTTTATTTGTCCTTCCTCAACTCCTTGTGGGATTTCGAGATCTTTGCTAACCAGAGGTAAGACGATGTCTCTTACGGCAAACTCCATTTGGTGCTGGTCCACAGAAAGCCGCCACCAGAAGCCATTTCCGTGGCGTTTAGATGCCTGAATGGGAAAAACTCCCAACTCAAAGGGCCACCAAGATCTGTCAGGATCTCCAGAAGAGTCAGGTTTTACGGTTCCCAAACCCCCACGTCCTTCCCTCACCTCCTGCTTCTTCTTCTTCCTTCCAGCTTTGATGAAATCACGGGGGGATTTGACCAACTGCCCAAAGCCTTCCACGAAGTGTTGCCCAATGTCATCAAGTTCAACTGCACGGTGGAGAAAATCATGAGCAAAGGAAACAAAGTCCGTGTGTTTTACCGCGCTCCGGACACCCTGGCCCCAACCATAGAAACTGCGGATTACGTCCTCGTCACATCCACTGCCAGAGCCACCAGGCACATCCAATTCCTGCCACCTCTCTCTCCTCCAAAGAGCCATGCCCTGCGCTCCGTCCACTATGCCAGCGCCACCAAAATAGCCTTGGCGTGCACCGAGAAGTTCTGGGAGAAGGACGGCATCCGAGGAGGACAGTCCATCACCGATCGCCCTTCCCGGTTTATCTACTACCCCAGCCACAACTTCACCAACGGGACGGGCGTGATCCTGGCTTCCTACACCTGGAATAGCGATGCTGAGTTTTTCCTGCCTCTCACAGATGCGGAGTGCCTGGATGTGGTCCTACAAGACCTGTCGGACATCCACCGAGTGAGCAAGGAGTACCTGCAGTCCACCTGCGACCAGTATACGCTACAGAAGTGGGAACTGGACAAACACTCCATGGGGGCATTCGCTGCCTTCACCCCCTACCAGTTCGTCGACTACTCGCAGCCACTCTTCCAGCGCGAGGGCAGGGTGCATTTTGCGGGAGAACACACGGCTCAACCTCACGGCTGGATCGACACTGCCATGAAATCAGCCGTCAGGGCCGCCAGCAACATCCATCACAAGAGCAGCGAAGCCTGGACGCTGAATGAGGAGCAGACGGGGAGTTCTGTACAGAAGGAAGAGCTCTGAGCGGAACTCCTGGGCTGAGCTTTGGTGGATGTCAAAAATGTGACGTCTAAGTTTCACGACTCTAGTATCACCCTGGGTGGGACACGTTGCGGTAATTTCTGATTTATGTCCAAACTATTTCAGAAAATCACTAAGATGGAATAAAGGTGGGTGTTGCTCGGTTCCATGGGCGTGAGGTGCCTCCTTCTCTTATTTTGTCACGTATAAATCGCCTCATGTCACTTGTGCCGCTTAGAAAGTCATCACCCGTCGGCTGGGGCTTCCTTCCCTTCCAAGATTTGGGAGATAATTTGTTCTAGAAAGAAATGTAACACTGTGAAAAGTAAAAATAAAAGAAAATGGGCCAAAAAAGGTCACAAATGCCTTGTTAAGCTCAGAACAGAGCCAGGCTCAACGTGCAGCACTGTTGTGTTCGGAGAAAAGAAGGGTGCAAAGCTCAAAGTACTGCAAAAAGAGAAAATCGAAGGATTTCAACTTGTTCAGTTAAAATGATTTTGGTTTTCTTGTGCTGATCCCAGCCATGGCAGAACACTAGCCCCCTCTGCCCCTTCAAAAAAAAAAAAAAAAAAAAAACAACAAAAAACCAAAAAAACCAAACCAATCTGTTTTAGCAAAGAAAACTCTTTATTTAGCCTTGAAAATCACGTCTCCATCCTGAATCCGACCGGCGAGCACTTCACATCGACATTGTCTCAAGGTACAGCATGAATAAAGGTTTTAGAGCCAACATCCTCAAAAGGGCAGCATCCCACCAGATCCATCCCATAAAACC